CTACCAGAAGTCAGTCCAGTGTGTTTTCTGATTGCGACCCCTTCCCATTCCTGAATTCATAGACATTCTGTCCCATTAGGTATCCTCCTTCCAGTACCCTGGTAATACTCTGGCATCCAACCTCTCATTTAAACTTCATATTGGAGGCCTCTTTATTACAATTCGTAAACTTTTATATCATATCCGCCATTTACGTTCATATCACACACCACAAGCCCTAATCTGGCGATTTATAGATTCCCGCATTCTGCCCGTAATTCTTTACTGTTATTTTTTCAGCCTTGTTTAAAAAAAGACCTGTTCATTTTTAAACCTATTCCCCCGAATGCTCCCTTCAGCTGCCAGTGTTTCCCATGGTTTTTATGTAATATTATAATACAGCAACACTTTAAAACGGTCAGGCAATGTGCTGATCGCATTATTGGTGAGGTAGCTCACCCTCTTCACTCTGAATTAATGGCTGCGAAGTCCTCCCGTACTATGCGCCGAACTTTCTGTCATATGTCTTGCCGTTCATCGGCCTATCAGCATTCTATAGTCTCATTCCTAGCACGCTACCTCATGTGTGAAGAAACGGAAATTCAGAAGTTGAAATTAGACCTGTCTTCATAACAGATGTGAATTTTATGTAAACCGTTAGATTTTAAGTGTCCTATGACCTTTTATCTTACCTTATCCAATGTTCTCAGTGAATTGAGCCACTTCTGTTGTAAATTTTCCATATTTACCTTTAAAATGAGGCATATTTCTCTCTGAAAGTATTTAAATACTCTAGCGCTGAGCTACTAGAATATTTTCCTGCTTGCTGTGATCCTAACCATAGGGTCAGGCTACAGGATATGATCGTGGAGCTAAATTACTAGTCCTCCAGCAAGCAAATCAGCAAAACGAGCGCTGAAATAGCAGGCGAGAGGGTGGACTTAAAGAAATCGACAATTCGTATCAAGAGGATAGAAGACACTCACCGGATCCTTAACAGGCCAGTTGGGGAACCGTCTAACGTCACAAAAATGACGCAGGTAGTAATTGTTACAGAAGAGTTCACCCTCCAGCTGAGGATAGTTGATTGTAGGAATTCCAATATACTGGTAGATGGCTCTGGTGTTGCTTTTCAGTCGCGGGCTGAAATCTGCCAGATGGGCTGCTAAACGTTGAATCATGTGTCGCCTGAAACACAAAAAACGGTAAAAATAGGTTGTGGAAAATGCCCGCGTTTACTATACAACACTAACTACTTATTTCCTTGAAACAGGAATGGGACGGTTTGCTATTCCACTCAGGGGTTTGTCTAGAGGAAAGTGGAGGGGGGGGTGCGGGACGGCAACTCGGTTGCTTTAGTTTTGGTGGTCGTTGAGGAGATCATGGACATAAACAAGCGCACGCACTTGAAGCTAGCACGGTTCGCTAAAGGCCATGCCTTGGGAGAGTGTCAATGAATTTGGCGGTTATGAGAGCCAAACATTATGAGACGTAGAGTACAAACACATGTGAGTATCACGGTAGTTCCACGATTCACAGCTTGAGTCATGTGTGGCCATTACGATACAACCGGTGAAAGTGAATTGAAAGTGGTGCATCCCGTTTAAATACCATGCCTCATTGCTATCTCAGACGACGCGTTGGTACGACCGTTCCAGCAACGACAACACCCAGCAAGAGGCAAATGACGCGCTCCGTGTCAGGGGCAAGCACGCTACCAAAGTGAAATATAGACAATCAGAGTTAAGTTACTTCATTGAGAGAACACTGGGGAATTCTCGGACTACACATTGCCAAAAAACACAAGGAAGACAGAAAATGCCAATTCCGACTTATTAATCGTCATCAGCCAGTCATACCCTGCCTCGGATAGTGCACCACCGAAGGATCGAAAACGCGACCAAGAAGTTTGACGTCCTAACCATCGAGCCACGGGCCGCTACCTTGCGGTTTAGGTCGGGAATATAGGTATTGATAAGAAGAAGACGACTGGATCGCTGGTACAATACTTTTATTCGCCTGACGTTTC